TGGCCTCCACTGTGATTCCCCTATGGGGGCCTGCCAGAGACTCCAAACAGCATCTTTATCTGCCACTGATACCTCAAGCACCATCGGATCTACGGGATCATATGGCCCATGGGGCAGAGCAGCTTGGACAGCAGCCTGGACCTGTTGAAGGGCCCTTTCCTGTTCCAGGCCCCACTCAAAGGTAGCTGCCTCCCAAGTCACTTGATATATGGGTCGTAGTAATACACCCAGATAAGGAATGTGCTGCCTCCAGAATCCAAACAGGCCCACCAAGTGTTGTGCTTCTTTCTTAGTGGAGGGAGGGGCCAAATGCAACAACTTATTCTTCACCTTAGAAGGAATGTCTCTGCATGTTCCACACCACTGAACTCCTAGAAATTTCACTGAGGTAGAAGGCCCTTGAATTTTGGTTGGATTTATTTTCCATCTTCTCATGCACATGTGCTTAACCAAGTCCAGACTGTCTGCTACCTCCTGCTCACTGGATCCAACCAGCATAATATCATCAATATAGTGGACCAGTGTGATATTTTGTGGAAGAGTCAGGCAATCAAGATCCCTTCAAACCAAGTTATGGCACAATGCTGGAGAGTTAATATACCCTTGAGGCAGGACAGTAAAGGTATACTGTTGGCCTTGCCAGCTGAAAGCAAATTGCTTCTGGTGGTCCTTATGAACTGGTATCGAGAAGAAAGCATTTGCCAAACCAATAGCTGCATACTAGGTACCAGGAGACGTATTAATCTGCTCAAGTAAGGAAACCACATCTGGTAGAGCAGCTGCAGTTGGAGTCACTATTTGATTAAGTTTTCAATAGTCAACTGTCATTCTCCATGACCCATCTGTCTTCTGCAAAAGCCAAATAGGTGTTGGGAGCTGATAGTCTATTATGTACATTGAGCTGTGGCAGCCTTGTTTACTGAGTTTGTGTTATGCATACCAGTACCTAATCTGCCTATTCAGGAGGAAAGTTACTGTTTCTGGTTAACTATATTCCCTGGCAGAGGCAATTCCAGTGGTTTCCATTTGGCCTTTCCAACTATAATAGCCCTCACTCCACAGGTCAGGGAACCAATGTGGGGGTTCTGCCAATTTCTAAATATCTTCATCCCAATTATACATTCTGGTACTGGGGAAATAACCACAGGATGAGTTCGGGGACCCACTGGACCCACTGTCAGTCAGACTTCAGCCAAAACTCCATTTATCACCTGACCTCCATAAGCCCCTACTTTAACTGGAGGGCCATAACATTTTTTTAGGATCTCCTGGAATCAGTGTCAACTCAGAACCAGTATCCAATAGGCCACGGAATATCTGATTATTTCCTTTCCCCCGATGTACAGTTACTCTAGTAAAAGGCCGCAGGTCCCTCTGGGGAAGGATGGATAAGAGGCGAACTGCATAACTCTTTGGTACTGTGACAAAGTCCTTCTTCAAAGGCACCCGGCCTTCCCTTCATTCAAGGCATTCTGGGTCTGTAAACTGTCTCAAGTCTGGAAATTGGTTGACTGAGTGAGATTCTCTATTCCTATGATCCAATACTGACTTCCTGTCATTCATCCTAAAGCTTTTCTGCTTATACAGATCAAATAAAAACTTAGTAGGCTTCTTATGTATGTGGTCCCTGGAAACACCATGATTGATTAGCCAGTACCACAGGTCCATTTGAGTCATGCCATTGTAGGTATTGTTTTGCCTTTGCCACCCATTTCGATTAGTACGCTCACCTTGTCTTTGATAATTCAGTACTGCCACCTGACCCCTACTCTGAGGTCCTGTTACACCTATTATATTTACATTTAATTTATGCAATTGAGCAGCAGCATCTCCAACTGTAAGATTCAGCATAAGGAAAAAAGCAAAAACAAAGCTCTCCAATGTTCTGGTCTCTCAGTACTTTCCATCTTATAAAATCAGTAAAAGGTATGTCCTCTGGGCCCTCCCA